CAGGCAGCTGAGAGCAAGCCTGGTTTTCTGCAAAAACCGTGTTGCATGTGTCTCCTGGGATGTAGCATGTAAGTACTGCCAGACAAAGGCAGCGACTTCCCCAGGATCCTCGGCCTTGCTGCATTGGTGCTTTCACTGGATTTGCTAGCTTCTGTTGGATCATTAGTTTATTTTTGCATCCTTTTCTCTGAGCTATCTTGGAGGGAAGGGTTCAGCTAAGCCTGGTCACTGCAGCCTCCTGCAAGAGGCCACTGACCTTGGACGGGGAGCAACAATGCCCGAGCCTCCAGACACATGGATGATTAATCTGTTGTCATGATTGTGCCTGGAGGCCTGAAAGGAATTTAGGTTGGGGCTGCTTGTTGGGAGGTCATTCCACAAGGCTTCTTCCAGGTGATAAGATCCCTGGGGGAACGCATGTTCCTGTTGATTACAGGGCCAAGCAATGGTGCCAAGAGCTACATGCTGACTAGGGTAGGAAGGGTGGCACAGCCAGGATGCTACTCTGCTCTTGCCATGCTAGTCGGTGGATTAGCAAGGACTGAAGAGGAGACAACCCAAAGCATCTCCCAGGGAGATAGCTGGTGGCTATCTACTACAAGGATTTGCTTTTCCTTTCAGTTCATTCCTATATTTCCAACTAAGAGCATGGTTGTGAGCTTGGCAACACAGGACTGTACCTTCCTCAAGGCTGGAAAGCAAGAAAGAGTTTCATGGGTTTGCTGAGCCTTGCAGGGAAGCTGGAATGCTCCATGGTTCCTTGGGGATGGGATGGTACCCATGTGGTACCCATTATACCCATAGCAACAAGGACCAGGAGTTCTTCAGCGCAAAGTCCTCTGACCACTCACCAGTTCCACTGCAGGATTGCTGAGAGAAAACCTGGGTAAAAAGAAAGGGCTGATACTGAAGCTTAAAGGAAGGAATACTTCTCAAGCACTTTTTTTCTTTGGGTGTTATGGGGAGTAGGAAGGGATAAATATGCTATGGCATTACCAGGCTTCACCCTTTTATTGACCCTTACAACAATCAGTGTTTTTCCCTTTGAAGCCCCAGCTCCTGGAATCAGATTTCAGAGATCCTCGTTTCACTTTTAAACAACATTAACCTCACAGCTAGCTTGAGGGTTGTGACCTTCCACCCAAGCTGAAGGCAAATGGAAAACAACTCCATACGGTAGTAAATTTTTAAACACGTATGACTTTGTAGGGCCAAACTTATGGAGTCAGCTACAGCCCCTGAAGGCATGTCCATCAGCTCAAGGGTTGGCAAGGGTGGAGGGGCAGAGCTCCTGCAGGGCTTGTTTTTCAGCCACATCTGTGTTTGTGGGGTGGCTGTCGTCTCCCAGGAAGTCGGGCAAGGCAAGGCAGGGCTGGGACGAGCCTGACAATGCACAGCAAAGCTCCATGAATGCCTGGTGAGGAGGAAATGAGAGACCTGCCAGGAAAGAGGATTATTTGGATTTTGTGTGGCAAGGGGCTTTCCAAGCACAACTTGCCTTCTGATTCTACGCACCTCTGCAAAAGGCTCCCTGCCCTCTGTGCATGCTGTCACCTTGCCAGGGCAGCTGAAGCACAACTGACCACAGTTTTCCTTGGTGCTGCAGGGGAGTCTCCTATTTAAATGGGGCTTGGAAATGATGCAGGCTGGGGCCATATAGCCGAGTGAGGCTGCAGGCAGGAGCACTTGGGTGTGAGCACCTCGGGAGATGCTCAGCAGGGTCCCTGATTCCTCATCAGGGGCTCTTCCCACCTCTCTATTCTTTATTTCTCTTTGTTGGTCTTTATCATAGTTATTTCCATGCCACATGATTTCTATCTCCTGGACATAAAGACTCTTCCAGGCTTAGGTAAGTTTTTAAGCCAGTTGTTGCCTGTGCAGCACAAAGTCCAAACTGCTAAGGATTTATTGATCTGTCATTTTAACCCCTTACCTTTCCTGCTCCCCTCTCACACAGGCAGGGGAGGTGTTAGCAGGCTCAGAAGACAAAACACACATTGCCTTTAGTGCCAGGACTATGTGGCACTTTTGGATTTACCCCTCTTGCTTTGCGTTGGTGCCTCTGCTGACTGGAAGTCTGATGTCTTCCGTACTGCAGGCTCCCAAGGGTTAATCACTTAAACCACCCCAGGCAACTCCCTGTGTTTAAATCAGTTTAAACCTTCCAGGCACCTACATATTTTTGTTACTCCACTTTGCATTCCCTCTGATATACTCCAATGCTGGTGGGATGGAAGAATCCAGGGCCAAATCAGTGTCCCGAGATAGAGCAGAGAGGTGAAGATGTTTATAGCAGGATACACATTGCTTCCCAACTCCTCACTCAAGTCTATCAATCCTTAAGTGGATGGAGCTGCAATGACTTGGGTATGAAATGGAGCAGAATGGTGGTGATGAGTGCTGAAAAGCAGCAGTTTCCATGAGGCAGCTCTAAGCTGCTTTTGAATCCTCGTATTCAAACCCTACTGGGCTTCACACCCAGGGGCAAAACTAGGTGCCAAATTTCCTGTCCCCAAGGCTGTCCTGGCAGTGCTGAGCTGCAGCAGTGGGCTCAGCGCCCAGGCAAGGAGGATCACAGCCTGCGCCCGTGCACTTTGCTCCATCAGAGCCCCCTGTTTCACCTTCAGTGCGGATGTTACCTTGGCACCTAGATGTTAAATGATTAACCTGAAATCCTGGAACTTCCCTGGCATTTTTCCCCCGCCCCTTCCCTTCTTTTAAATGGCCAGCACATACCGAAAGTGAAAGGGCACTTGAGCTGTTGTGGGGAGCACAGAGGGGAGCTGCTGGAGAGGAGAAGTGGATGGGCCCTTCTTCCTTCCCCAAGAACCGCTTTTGCAGAAGGCCAAGGAATATGGAATGAGCCTCCCTGCCGGGAGAGAGACCCTCTGAGTGTGCAGACATGCAGTCAGGGGCTCCTGCGAGCTGAGGCAGGTGAGTTTGGTCGGAGCCACAGGGATGGGCTTCCCAGCTCTGTGCAAACCAGGGCAGCCTTTCTGCCAGCAATTGCTCTTGGGGGGACTTCTGCTGAGCCCCTCTCCAGTGCCCACCGCCTGGAGGCTTTTGCAGGAGTTCAGATGGTCTGTGCCTGGCAAAGGTCTGGGAAAGCAGGGCTGGACTGTGCAGTGTACCCGGATTTCAGTTTCTCAATTTCCATGGCTCGTAGCTGGGTTATCTTGGCTTCCTGTAGAGAGCAACAATGTGGTCTTACCTTGGGTCTGTATCTCTTCTCCCCTTATCCTGTGGTTAAAATCCTCCTTCTCTGACTTCCTCCCTCAAATAATGTACCTGCTTAATAACTGCTCTTTTTCCACTCAGGCCATGTACCCACTATACAGAATTTGAACTAATTAATCAATTAATCAATCCTTTCCTACCAAAACTCCTGGAAAATGGAGTGCCTTTCTCCCCAATCCTGCACTGCAGTATGGGCTGTGATGAGGTGGGCTCCAAATGAGGGACAGCCAAGAGAGAAGAGTAATTCACTATTTCCTCCAAGGAGCCGTGACACAATATCTGGGCCACGCTGTGCAAGGAGCTCATCAAACTGATGGGAAGTCACAGTCTTCGCAGTTTATAACCTGGGGAGTAAACATGTATAGAGGGAAAAAATCTGGCCGAGCTCTGATTAGGGAAGGCCAAGATGTATTTTCAGAGTCCCAGAATGTCTGTTCACTGTAGTCATATTTCAATCCCCTGCTCCTGCAAGCTGGACAGACCTGAAACGAGCAGTTCCTGGGTGACTTAAATGATTTCTAATGATTCAAACTGATTGCTGAGCTGCCTTGAGCTCTGGGGGGAAACACGGCATTTTCACTGTTAGAGCTCTGCAGTGTGTAACGCTCCCAACCAGGTTGTGTTAGCTGGTGTCCTGGTTTCAGCTCTGAGCAAGGGAGGGGAAGGGAGGTAAAACCTGTCCCACTGCCCCTTCCCAAGCAGCCAGTGGAATTCAGGGCTGGTCTGTGTGCAGCAGACGAGGAGCTGAACCTCACTCAGGTAGGGGACCTGATTCACCCCAAGGCACATATGGGGCATAGTCATTCATAGAAATACCAATGCATGGACCTCTCCAGGGAAGCCCAGGACTCCTAGGGCCCCACAGCATCCCCACCACTTGTGCAGGGGCTTTCTTGGCCCTCGAGATAGCCATTCACAGCATTACATGATGGAGCAATGCTCAGAAAGTGTGATACTGGAGCCTGTTAACATAGTGCTGTGAAGTTGTTGGTGATGTCCTTGGTGTGGACAAGGATCTGTGAAACTCTGCAATAAACTCGGGATAGGATGAGTGATATGAACCCTTGCTGCATTGTGCAGACTCCATCATGGTAAACATGACAATTCAGAGTGCAGGAAGTGCTTTGATTTGGGCTGCAAAGGGCCAGAGGCAAACAGGGAGGCTTTGCTCAGCCCTCTGCATCAGTGTGGCACAATGTCTCCTGATGGACCATCCACCCCACGAGTCCCATCCCAGCAGCAGCAGCTCAGGGCTGGCCTCGGGCAGAATCAGCAGCGCAGCCCAAAGTTGCCTTGTCTGTTCTATAAAGTGGGAAGACCCCTGTGTGTTACCCATCCCAAGCAGGGTTGTCCTTATCACTTGGCTTGGACTCAATCTGGACGGAAGACAGCAGAAACATACCTTGTTTCTAACAGAAATGGAACTCTTTTAGTTGATTTCAGCATCCCTGACCTTCACTGATTCCTTGACACTGAAAAAATAGTGGCCATTCATCTGACTTAAGGAGTGGGAATAAAACCTCACAGACCTAAAAGCAGGCCAGCACCTACTTTCTGTGGGCAGAGATACGTTTCAACAATTACAGGTTGTAACAGACTGGGCCAAACAGGATGGGCAAGACTTTTAGTCCAAGACTGACTTTGCAGACATAGTAATAGTCTTGTAGGTTTCTCTCATCTCATTCTGCTGTTTTGTTAGCTTTAGGCATTACCATCAGCATTTTTGGAAAACCTGTTGACCTGTTGGAAAGCCTCCTTGAAAGATGAGTAGAAATATGGAGTTACATCGAACAAGTGTAACATCAGAACCAACCTCTCCAACAAACAGTATTGGGAAAGAGAAGATGGATGTTACTTCAGAATTAAATAGCCCGACTTCGCCTGGCTTTGACACAGGGATCTTTGAAAGAGGAATTAAATCAATGTTAAGCATCCGGAAATCAAAACAAAACCTGAACAAAGATAAAGAAAAGGAATCTACTGGTTCTCTGAGAGGCATACGACTTTCTTTTAAATTCTCCAAGAGCTGGGAGCAAGACAAAACTGCGACCTGTGATGGCATGGAGCAGATTGGAGAGGAGAGAGAATCAAAGACTTTTGAAGGAAAACCTCTTTCGGGTAAGACAAGAAAACAGCAATGTGATTTACTTGGGAGGAAAAATGCAATATCCAAGCAATTTACACTTTGATCTCAGCCTGAGGGCAGATCACCTGTCATTGAACAGACTGTTCTGTGGCCTCCACTGTGTTAGTTTAATTGTATCAATCAGCTTACCTGCAATCAGCATATTAACGAGTCAGCTGACATATGGAAACTATGCAGAAGTGCAATGCAGGCTATTCCTATACTATTGTTGGTATTGCACTTCTGAATAGTTTCTGATCTTCAGCTGTCAGACAGACAGTCTCCAGACTGTACTCAATAAGTTAGTACAAGGCCTTGATAAGTTGTTCCGTTAAGCCATGTTTTTAAATCAAAGATAAGGATGAGATGCAAATGGACTGGGCATGAGAGATGCAGTGAATCAACCGTACATGCAGAGCCAAAAAGCTGGGGGGCCACTGTTCCTGAATACAGACTATTTTGTAAATAAGTGTTGTCAATTTGTCCAGTTGGATTTGGGAGAAAGGTCCCAAAATGGGAAATTACTTGATCATCTGGATGCGATCTCGGCCAGAACCTTGTCCTGACCTGAGAGAATGACTTGTAAAGGGATCTCCACAGATGTTTTTGCTGTCTTACACTTTCTTTCCATCTATTTCTCTCTCAATTGTGGAGTGGCAAGTATCGTTTTCTTCCCTTTTCCCCAGGTTGGGTCACTGTCATATATTTTTGTCAGCAGTAGGTAGGGTTAGCGTTTGTCACAGTCAAGTCGTAATAACTACCATCAGCTTACCTATCCCCTTTCCTCAGGTGTGAGCAGAGTGCAATGACTTTGATCTTGATCTGAACAATGTTCTCATCTTTTTCAAGGCTGAGGTATTACATAGCGCCCAGGAGATAGACTGGCTTGATCTTTCTTCAGTCTAAATTACTAGAGAAGAAAAGCTCTGAGCAATGACTTTGATCTTGATCTGAACAACGTTCTTATCTACTTTTTCAAGGTAGAGGTATTACATAGCACCCAGGAGATAGACTGGCATGATCTTTCTTCAGTCTAAATTCCTAGAGAAGAAAAGCTCTGGGGGCTGATGTTGTCCCATTTCTATAACTCTGTGCCATAAAAATATTTACAGCTTCATGCTGATATGCTATGAGGTCAGTAAGCTGGATCCAAGCCCATCTCTTCAGCTTTGCTGGTCCATTCAAAAGGTCACAGGTCAGGAGCAATCCTAAATGGTAGGATAAACTGTTTTTATCTCCTGCAGAACACATACTGCTGAATTACAGCAATAAGACCTGTCATGTGCCCAATAACTAGTGATTGGGCTAGACCGGAGCAACTCTGTCAGAAACACATCTCATCCTGAGATAAATATGGCAAATGGTGGAGACTCCACCATATGCCCCATTAAGCTGTATAATGGTTAATTGCCTTCCAATTTTTTTTTCCTTTTCAATTACCAGCTGGCTGATCTTGTATTGCTAAATTAAAGATGCATTTAGCACCCAATAGCACCTCCTAGAATAATTATCTGAGATGGTGATTAAATGGCATTTTCACTTTGATAAGCTGAACAGAATTTATTCCCTTAGTCTCTCATTGTAAGGACTTGGGCAAAAACAGGTTTTGTACTTATTTATCCAGAAGAGATTAAGTTAATTGTCACAATCTCCCTTTCCTCTGAGTGTACTGCAGCTGTAGCTCTGTAGAGGCACTCACAAACTCTATGCATTATATGCTACGTCAATAGTTGGGTGATTTGGTGTTTTTCTGTCTTCATAAGGATGTCCACAGACTGCAAAGATTATCTAGTGTATGTGGTATAAAATCTGTCTGCCCGAAGGCATAAACTCTGGCCTATGAACCATTCCTTCATGTCTCTTTTGAGTTCCCCCTGCCCCATCCCAGTGCACACACCTTCCCAGACCATGCAGGACAGCAATACCCACCCCTCGGAAAACAAATGTTACTGGTGAGAGGCAGTGCCTGGCATTTTTTTCTGGAGGTTTATACACAAGCTGTAAATGATCAGCTCACAAGACCCAGAACTGCCCCAGGCCAGTAAACTCCACATACCATGCCTGCTTTGATATTTCTCCATTTCCTCTGCTGACTGGCTGGGTGTCACATTGCTGCTACGTCATGAAACCATGACTACTCCCCCGTCGTCTCCTCAGCGTCCTCCCATATAAGAGTACAGAATGATTTTTCATTTCTGCATCTCCTTCTTTTTACTTCCCGAGATGTGGCCTCTTTACACCATGTTCCCCCTTTTCTTCATGCATGGAGATGCCTGGGCTGTGGGCCCCATCCCAGAGCCCTTTCTCTCTCCCTAGCCAAAGGGAGGTCTGATCTGGTCCCTCGTTTTGGTTGAAAGGGGCCATAGACATTTATGGACACCCCCAAATGTCTGGAACAGATAAGAGGCATCACTCTGGAGCATTTGCTGGAAAATGACTAACCTAATCAGTGATCTGGGTCCTGGGCTGGAAAGAGCAACCACCTACACATGGGCCAGTCACTGGTTTGGTGCCTCTGCTCAAGGAAGCACTTTAGCCCCTGCCTGGTTTGGCCCCTGCATCTCAAGGAGTCTTGTAATACAAATCACTAGTGATAATCTCTGTAGGGATCAAGGAGATGGTCAGTTATGGCTTGAGTCAGGGATGTCCCTCAAAGGAACTCAGAATGCATCAGGTAGAGAGCACAAAATCAGGACATGAAGGGAGCCCAGGTTTTGGCCACTGTTGCCTCTGAACTGCGAATATTCCCAGAATGTATCAGAAGCATCCCCAGAGCAGCATCTGCTTTCCCAGGGCCTTGGTCACTGTGGAGAATGTCCTGGTGGGTGTACTGGGAGCTCAGAAGGCCCAAGGCCCAATGTGCTGCTGTGCTCCTCAAGCTGGACCCCTGGCCCTGCTTCCTGCCTTCTCCAGCCACATGCAGGAATGATCTGTACTGGAGTCACTGCTGCAGGAGCAGTGTAGTGCAAGGCACAGCTAGGCTGAGGAACAGGAGCATCATAGCTAGCAGAAATTTCTGCTGGGAAGGTAATTCGGCATCTGCCTCAGCTGCCAATGCTACATCAGTACCAAACTAAAGAGAGGGGCAGAGCCAGACTCAGTTCTATGCAGCCCGAGACCCCAGTGTCCTCAGTGCAGCTCTCATTAGACATTGCTTGAGGTTTTCTTTCAGGGCTCTGACTTTTTCTTTTTTTCTTTTTTGAATATTTTGTATCTCAAAAACTCCCCAAAGATATATAGCTTTAACATTGAAATGATTATATTTCCACTGCTTTTCTCTTCTGTGTGCAAGAGGACTTGGAGATATCAGAGAAGATCAGTCCTGCATGCACTGATGAGATCTGCCAACCCAGACTGGTCCTGCAAATTCTCCTGTTGGGGATTTTCTCTAGTTACAGTCCTGCCCAGCACATAACACCTACTTTGACTTTTTTTTTTTCTTCCCTGCAGTAATGGAGATAAATGAACTTATTCAAAAACGGCAGCTTTTGGAGGCATTTGCAAGCATCAAATATTTGGAAGATGAGGTGATAGCTGAAAGGGATGCCGATAAATACAAGGATAACCCCCAAGAGTTTGCCAGGAAATCCAAGGATGTGGATTTGCTTTATAATTCCATCACAAGCTCAATCCAGCGCATTGTAGCAGAAACACTGGAGCATCCTGCTGTAGAGGAGACCCTGCTGGCATCTTTGGTGACTTTAATTGACAATGAAGAAGCAGCTCATCCTGGTACAAGTGACACTGCTGGTCCTGGGTCAGCCTTGCTTGGCACACCCAGAAAGTGGAGGGAGGAGTGGAGGGAAGCTATCAACGAGAGCGCTAGGAAGAGAGTCTTGAGTGTACACATGGCATCAAAGGAAGAAGACAGTTCTTGGCTTGATCGCCATTTAGGTGTCCTCGGTGAACATCTGAGTGAAGATTTACTGAAAGTCAAGTCTGCAGTAAAAAAGTGTTATCCAGAGGATTACAGGGTGTGTGAGATCTACGTGAAGGCTTTTCATAATGCCATTGCTTCCCACCTGCAAAATCTCTCCCAGAAATCCTTGGAACTAAATGAACTCTACGCCTTGCTCAAATGGGTTGCTAACACCTACCTGAGGTAAGCTGTGGTTACTCACATCACTGTCCTGGCCCCCTCCAGAGAGTAACAGGGCTGCAGGATGCTTGGAAAGCATGTAGTTATTTTTCAGTTTCTTGTGTGTGCAAAAGAGATGCAATAATTTATACACTAGAGCTTGCTGTGTTTCACAGAGCTCATTTACCCTATTTACTCCCTCTCTAACTTGTTTTTCTCATAAGCCAGGAAGCTCCCCCTTCACGTGCTGCCTTCCAACCCTAATAATTCCTCCTCCGTCTGTGGAAATGTTTTGCAAGATACCACAGCTGCTTGTTGGCTTTTTTAGGAACAATAAGTAGCCTGTGAGGGAGCCTTCCCTCCTTCCTTTTTCATTGAAATAGTGATGCAGATTTCATTAAAACAGTGAGTGTGTTAAAACACCACTTTATGTCCCTCCTTCCCTGTGCTCACTGGTCACATTCAACTTGAGGAGGTACCAAGGGTTCACTGTATGAATTTAGCCATGTTTAAACAGAGGCTTAAGAGAGTTTCCACCAGGAAGACTTTGGCGACACAGCATGAACCGCCACAAAAACATGCGATAGTCGAGATTTCTGGCTGTGGGGAATGTCTGACTCTCTCTATATTACCAGGGAGCAGCGAAAACATTACCTGCCTTAGGTGTGAGCAGGTGGATGACCTGCCCAGCCTGGTGGTGGAGCTGAAGGAGGAAGTAGAAAGGCTGATGGCCATCAGGGAATGTGAAAGAGAAACAGACTGGTGGAGCTGCATTCTGCAGTCATCCCAGGAAAGCCACTCAGAGAACCCCCCAATTCAGTCTGTAAATCCAGTACCCTCTTGCCATAGGGCAGAGGGGGCAGAATTAACAGTATCAAGGGATGAACGACAATGGAAACAGGTCCCTATTAGAGGTGGCAGGAGAACCCTTCCATGGCCCACCTCACCTCCACCAGTGATCACGTTCAACAGGTATGAGGCCCTGGAACTTGAGGATCAGACAGATGAGGTCATGAACCAAGGCCCATCTAGGGGGCTGTCTACAGAGAGGCAGTCTGGTCCATGCCCTGAGGCTGCTCCCCCTAAGGAGAAAAGGAGCACCC